ATGAAACCTTCTGGATGGAAGGTGAAATGTCTCAGCACAAAAACAGAAACCGTCCAGATGACCTGACTGAATATGGTTGGCTCTCAATTCAATTCAATTCAAAAATACTTTATTAATCCCAGAGGGAAATTATTTGTTGTTGCAACTCGTTATCCTCATTTCATTAAGAGATGTTATAGATGCTGTAGACAGGAAGGATCTCTTGTAAAGATCCATCCCACAGTGGATCCTAAGAAACTGGCCGCAGATGCCGTCCGATTCGTCCACACAGACTCGGCTGGCCTCTCGGTTCCCCCGGTATGTAGGACCGCCTGAATGCTGGGCTGAACTCCCAGAGCGATGGCCACTCCTCCCAGCAGTCTGCCAAGCTCCTCATCGTTGTGGACAGACAACTGTAGGTGCCGAGGGATGATCCTGTCCTTCTGCTGTCATGAGCCGTGTTTCCTGCTAGTTCAGACATTGGTTTCTCAGATCACAAAGCAGATGGCCTCTTGTCCTGAGCTGGTTCTGCTGCAGGTTTCTTCCTGTTAAAGGGAGTTTTTCCTTTCCACTGTTGCCACTGTCCTTGTTCAGGATGGGAGACTGCAATGAAGCCAAGATTCAACTTGTCTGCTGGAATGCTTAGATAGAGAACTTTACTAACTGGCCATTTTATGTGAATGTTTCTGTAAAGTGCCCTGAGACAACTTTGTTGTGATTTGGTGCTTTAGAAACAAACTGAATTGAATTGAATTGAATCACACCAACGGTTGGTTCTCTACCTATTTTTCAGACCGGAGGCAACGTGTTCAGTATAATGGTATTTCCTCCAGTTATTTAACGGTTAACAATGGTGTTCCACAAGGCTCAGTCTTAGGACGCACCCTCTTTACAATCTACATAGGTAATGCAGGTCAGATCATCCCTGATGCATCCATACATTTCTATGCTGATGACACTGTAGTGAACTTGACCTGATGTCAAAACTAAGCCTAAGGTCAAAACCCTTGACCTTAAGAACCTTGTGGGACAGAAACTGTCATTTCATTGATTTGAATCCAGAAATACAGGTTCACCCATCCTGAGACTTTCTTTCTTGAAAATCAAGTGAAAGAACACTCTCTTTTTTATTATCATTACTATTTTACAAATGTTGATAACCAAAGTGTTTTAGTTCAAACCATTTTAGATGTTGCAGTGAACTAATCAATTTTATTAACTGTGAAACAGTAACAATGATTTTTTAGTTGCTTATGCAAAGTAGAATTCATGTTAAGGCCTGTTACAGAGTAATTATGCATTTTCTGATTTCTGTCTTTGAATGAGCAGTGTACGTTTTCCAAGGTCAGGAGTCGAAGCAGACAAGTGTTGGAACAACGGTCTTGTTTTACATCCTCTCAGACGTCAACAGAGAAGTTGGCACCTGTTTCTCCAAACTCGCCAAAACAAAACTCTCTCTGTCTCTGAGAACAGTTTTAATCTGTTCCATAACAATTCTTGCTGTTTTCTGACTTCTAGTAACCTCTTACGTCACAAACCACACCCCTGTCTGGTTGATATTGACCAATCAGGAACTCTCAAATATACCGGAAATAGAGCCCTTTAAATGCCGGTACTTCCTAGTTCTCTCGGTTCTGAGATGTTCGCAGTTCTGTGAAGTCGTTGTTCTGTGAGTTGCCGTTGGAGTCGGCTGGAGAGTTTGCAGCTCCAGTCGTTTGGGAGAACAGAAGTCCAGCCATGATAAGGCTCTTCCGAGTTTGGATTATAACATCTTCCACCTCTGAGTGGAACTTCTGAAGGACTCCACTCATGTGAAGTCCACTTGCTGAGGTGAGCTTGTGTCGGACGGAATCTCGTCACTACTTCGGACGAGTCACAGCCATCCTATGGAGACGCTGGACAGGTAGCGTTAACTGGAACTCCGTATCTGCTGATCCATCTTCAGAGAGGTAATGAGTCAAGTTTACTACCGAGCGTACCGAGGAAAAGCTGGGTTCGAATGGAGAGTGTCGGTTCTGGTCAACACTCCCCCTCACACACCATCTTTTACTCCCTTTAAACTTCATTTTCCATCTTTAAATTCTTCTATCAAGTAGAAATCCTTCCAGATAATTTAGAAATGTCTGTGTAAAGTGCTCATCCACCTCCGTGTGGATAATTGATCATAATTGTACAGCCCGCTGATTAATTATGTTGTTATTCTCATATTTTGCCAAATTAATGTAAATGTTTGATGTTAAACTTTGATTCTGTAAATAAATGGCCACATTCATTTTGATGGGTCAAAGATAAATAACGTCTCACGTTACAGTTCATTAAATTCAATGCACATTTATATTCAGTCCAGAAAAATGAAGAATCCGTTTTAATTGATGAATATATCTCAGCATCTGTTCATCTACAACACAGTTGTTTATTGTCGAGATAAAACAGTTGCTAAGGCTTTCCAGCTTTTGCAATCCACCTTTGACATCATCCAGACAGATTTGTTCCGTCTCCAACTTGTCTTAAATGCAGATAAAACCAAAGGGATGCTTTTTTCAAACAGGAAGTTGGTCCCAGCAGTTCTTCCTCTGATTTTATCCTCAAATGGTGTCCCCATTGAGTTTGTTGATTCCTATGAATATTTGTGGGGCAGCACGGTGGCACAACTGGTAGAGCTGCTGCCTCTCAGCGAGCAGGTCCCTGGTTCAAATCCCGGTCCAGGGGCCTTCTGGGTGGAGTTTGCATGTTCTCTCCGTGCATGCGTGGGTTTTCTCCGGGTACTCCGGTTTCCTCCCACTGACCAAAAACATGCATGTTAGACTGATTGTAACTCTGAATTGTCCCTAGGTGTGAGTGAGAGAGTGAATGGTTGTTTGTCTCGTTTGTCTCTATGTGTCCCTGTGATGGACTGGAGACCTGTCCAGGGTGTCCCCCGCACCTCGCACAGTGATTGCTGGACATGGGCACCAGCGACCCCGTGACCCAAAATGGAATAAGCGGGTAAAGAAAATGGATGGATGGATGAATATTTGTGTATCTTGGTCGACTCACATCTCTCTTTTAAGCTCCATGTGGAAAACTTGATAAAGAAACTGAAAGTTAAACTGGGTTTCTTTTTCAGAAACAGATCCTGTCTAACCCTGAATGTTAGGAAACACCTTGTATCTGTGACTTTCCTTCCCTCCATTGATTACGGTGACATTATTTACATGAACGCTCCTACAAGAACCCTGCAGATGTTGGATGCTGCAGATGTTGGATGCTGCAGATGTTGGATGCTGTCTATCATCAGAGCCTTGGCTGAATGACGTCACGCGAGCCGTTAGGCGGCAGTGTCGCAAAGCTGAACGTAAGTGGAGGAAGGACAGGCTCCAGGTGTCTTTTCAAATGTTAAGGGAGAGTTGGCGTCACTATCAGAAAACTGTTAAAGCTGCCAAATGTAAATTCTTCTCTGATTTAATTGTCTCCAACTCCCACAACCCCCGAGTTCTTTTCTCCACCCTGAACTCAGTTCTACACCTCAGTGAGCCTTCACCTCTGGAAGCCTCAACTGAGCTGTGTGAGAACTTCCTCGATTTCTTTTTAGAAAAAGTGGCAAATACCCGGGCACTCATATCTCCACCAGCTCATGATCTGTCCATCCCATCTCAGTGTGTGGCTGTGTTTGACCACTTTGAGCCCATCTCTCTGTCCTCTCTGGAGCAGGTAATGTGCAGCATGAAACCATCTGGTTCCCCCTTTGATGTGGTCCCCCCTCGACTACTAAAGGAAGTTTTTCCTACCCTGGGTCCTTTTATCCTCACTATTCTGAATAGCAGTTTATCCTCAGGTGTGGTGCCAAAGACTTTTAAACATGCTGCTGTCCAGCCCCTCCTGAAAAAACCTAACCTTGACCCCTCAGTCACGTCCAACTTCCAGCCTGTCTCCAGACTCCCATTCACCTCTAAACTACTGGAAAAAATTGTGGAGTCTCAGTTGAAACAGTTTTTGGGGGATCACGCTATCCTTGAGTTATTCCAATCTGGCTTCAAATCTCTCCATAGCACTGAAACTGCTCTACTGAAGGTTTTTAACGACATTTTCATTTCCACAGACGCAGGTGATTCTGTGCTGCTTTTCCTATTGGACCTTACATCTGCTTTTGACACCATCGACCACAAGATCCTCATTTCTAGACTGGAGCAGTGGGTGGGCATCACAGGGTCAGCCCTC